TATATATATATATACTGTTAATAAAAGTGACCATCAGTATCTCGTAAAATTGATAAACTTGAGATGATGTTTTATTGGCCGGTATATTTTCATAATCGATTCTTATATATATTTAAGACTGTTTTAAGTATAGTCTTAAGATATCATAAGCCAATCACAGAACCGTATTAGCATCTTAAGAAATAAGAACCGACTATGCTTTCCGTCAATAGTCAATTCTATATTTCAAGACCGTCTTAAATAACGTTTTATGATGCTAATATTATACGACTTTGTGATTTTGGTGTATTAAGATTGTACTTGTACGATCTTAAATATTAAAGAATCGACTATGAATATCGGTCATTGCATGACTACAGTGTGGCGTTGCTATCGCTAAGAAAGCCGAAGACTGTCCAGTGTCGGAAGACTGTGAGATAAATACACAATTTAACAGATCGTGGACTAGCGCGCATGCGTGAGAACTGAGAACGTTTTCAACCACGTGATCGAACACTCAGACTCGTATTTTGGTGCTGCTCAAAATGCTTCTTGGGATCATATAAATAATTACACATGATTAATTAAAATATGTATACTTTTAAATATGTTAATTTTTGTACATAATGTTGCGTAAATTATTTCAAAATTATTGTAAATACTTATTGAATTATTAATATTTATATTTATAAAGTATTTTTAATTGTTTACATAATTTCGTATTTAAATACTAATAGCATTTTCTGCAGTTTTTCTAACTCTTGCATTAAATATATTTTTTAATCGCTGTAGATGCAACAAACCAATAAATTTAATCGTTTCTATTTATAAATTTAGTATTTACTAGCTTTATAGAGAGAAGTAGAGATTTTCTATTCTTACTTTTAACATATGTTATCGCTTTTTCTGGGGGTCTAGCAATACTCCTTATTACAATAATATCTGTACGCGACTGAGGTTTAATAGCGTCTGCTAATGCTCGTTTTACTGCGCATGTGCGAGCGTCACCTCACTTTGCGAGGGAGACAAGTAAACAAAAGATCTGGCGCGTCTCATTCGGGCGGGTCGACTCCGAGGGAACCATTCATTGGTAACTATCCACAGATGATCTACTACAAATCCTTGTCCATCCGCAAAGGAAAGGTCCCTCAGGTAAGTGTAGATGTGTGTTCACATTTGTTCCGCTTATTGAATTGTTAAGGTTCTAAGTTAAATTATGTATAATTTAACTCAATCGAGTTATAATATTTAATGCATTTAATTATATACATATATCTCTTCTTTTTGTTTTTTTCTAAAAAGTATAGGATTTTTTAAATAAAAATAATAAGTTGAATAAATAAAAAGATCCTCAAAGATTTTCAAAGAAATGAAATTTTAAATTTTGATAAAAGTTTTTTAGAAATTTTTTAAATAAAAATTATAAGTGCTTATTACATGTGCAGTTGAAGAAATGCGAATCATCAATTATAACTAAATCATCAATTAAACTTAAAGGTTTTATAAAGAAAATGAAAATGTTTAAACAATTATTTTTAAAAATAACTGGTGTAAGATTTAATTATGAAAATTAATTATTACTCTAATTTTACATAATTATATTTAATACTTATTATTAATTGCGTAAATATTAAATTGTAAGGTTAGAATACGTAGTCCAGAAATATTTCAGAATTTGTAGAAATTATTTTAAAATATACAAACTTATCGAGATATATTTTACAAAGTAAATTATGCGTATTTTAACAGCACATGTAAGAGACATGTAAACTGTTTCTATTTATAATGTAATCTTTGCATACAAAACGGGTGTAAAAGGCAAAACAGCAGAAAGCATGTTCTCTAAACAACGTGTTTCCCACAACGTGTTACCTACATCGAGTTGTGGGCATCCTAAGTAAATTCCGATGAGAGTTTTTCGCACTCTTGAATATCCCAGCTACCTGTTCACAAGTTCCGAGTACAGTCGTATTTCCGAGTAATACAATCGTGTCCGTGTGTCGCTTATCAATGCACGTCGTAAACTCAGCCGGTTTTGTGTAGTACGATCTACACGTGATAGTAGGAAGAGAGAGAGAGAGAGAGAGAGAGAGAGAGAAGATAATCTGCGATCACGTATCGTAAAAATTCAATTGAATACAATTCATATACTATTATATTATTGCAATATACTATTATATTATTGCATCTATGATTATATTAATGCAAATTAAAACCTATTGCGCGCTAATTTATTTAAAATTAAAATTGCTGAAGTTTTTATTTTATTTTAGAGGACGTCTTCTCCCCAAATATTCTTTCTTTAAACTTTGAATTTTCTTTTATAATACAATTTTGATTCAGTTTTCTTCTAACAAAAATAACGAAAAAAGGTCATCATGGTCTTTTCGAACTTTTAATTAATATATTTTAAAATTTGTATAATATATTTTTGTTACCACAACTTAAATTAATACCTTAAAGTAAAATATTCTTGAAATTAATCGAAGAATATAGTATTATTTATTTTTTCTTTCGAAACTTTTCAATTACCGTAAAACTTTTTTTTTAATTATAATTTAGAAGTTACGGAAAAAATAAAAAACTTTTTAATTTTTATTCTTTTGACGCAAATAACAACAAAAAAGTAAAACAATTAAAATCTGAACGCGTGTAAATATAATCTTTTAACAAGAACTGGTAAATGTCATAAATTTTCGCATTCTTTTATCTTCTTTTTTTGCTGTTTCCCTTTTTTCAAAAAAGATCTTAGATTCAATTGAAATAGAATATAATAGATTATCTTTCCGAGGTGCACTGTGTATAAAAATAATAATATGTACTTGCAAAATACAAATGGAAAAAAGTGGAACCTATTTCAAAATCTTTCTAAGAAGGTTGGAAAGGTTTCGAAATCGAGAATTTCTTGGAAAAAGAAATTATGGTTCTGCTCTAGTATATAAGATGTAATATTCTTATACTGATGTTTTTCTCTTTTACGTCTTATAGTGTCCCCGTAAATGCTTCTTTATTACTTTCCCTACTATTTTGACAAAATAGCATATAAAATATTAATAAAATCATTAAAAATATTAAAAATTATGTGTGTATAAACAAATGTGTACAACAAAATATCAATTATTGTCTAATAATAGTAACGTCGAGTGCTTTTATAGTAAAAAAAATTGGTCAAATTTTTCTGTAATATTTAAGATATATATATGCTTTTTTGTTAATACAATTAATCGCAGTTTAATTACTATTCTCTCTAAAAGTAAATCAGTGAAATCATCACTGATTTTCAGTGTATATCATTTTCCAATGGCATATACTTTGAACTGTGATGAGCAGTGACTATTTTAATGTTGTTTTAGTAATAATATACTAACTTAAATAGTAAATATCACTGAAAGGTAGTGAGTTTTACTGCCAAACAGTTTTGAGAACTGAAATTCATGGTTTTTCCAATGATATTCACTGTTTGAATCAGTATATTATCACTAAAACACTGTTTATCACCCAGTCCCAAGTATGCCATTGGAAAATGATATACACTGAAAATCAGTGATGATTCCACTGATTCACTTTTAGAGAGTTCTCTCAAAGAAAAAAATTCGGTCAGTCATGTAAAATCTTTGCAAAATCAAGATATCATACAACATTAAGAAACATATTTATAGTTTACAAAATTGTAAAATAAATGATAAATATGTGTGCATATAGAAAAAGTCCTAGAAACTCCAGTTCTTATATCCGTACACAGATAAATGCATATCTTTTTGTCAATAAAATTGACCAATGTTTTGTAAAATCCATTCTTTTTTTTGATAGATTTTATTGTAAACTAATCGCATTGCATTATAACAAACATCAGAACTATTATAACTACATCTCCATTACAAATTAGTGGGCTATAATTTATGCTATATATCGTGTGAGAAAAATTTTTTACGCGTAAAAAGTTAAAATTGCATCAATAAAAATGTTAATACGTTCGTCTAATTGCTAGTATAATTCTTGTATTTGAATGTATTTCAGACGTCGTAATCTTTGAGTAACTGATAAGGGGATTTCTTCATGATTAAAAGAATTTAGACAATTATGGGAAAGATGACGGGGATAAATATTTCTTCGTCAATAAAAAATCCAATAACAGAGAATGACTCAAGTCAAAATTTCAACGTGAATATTAGTACGAAGAATGGCATTTTATCACATCTTTACGATTGCCTCGTTTTAATATCACTCTTAGCGTTGTTGCTCTCGTCGATGGTAATAACTCAACAATTAGCAGTTCTACGCAAACAGGTGAGATACTTTGATTTTAGTAATAAAGGAATGTTTTTTTTAATGTTCCTTACGTCGAAAATTATCGGTCTTTCATATCTCTTTGTCTCTATATCCTTCTGTGTCTCCCTTGTCACCTACATGTTTACCACGTAAGTGGAACGCGTCTGAAACCTAACGATTCTGAATAAGCGCGACACCGCGATATTGTAACATGCTCAGAGAATTAATCATCCGGCTGCTCCTTTTTCGTGCATATGACGAATGTTAATTACGTATACGAATTTTTTGCTGCTTGTACATATCACGTCAGTGTAATCATGTATCAGATAACAAATCGTGGATGTAACAAAATATTTAACGTCATCATTTCCATGTGAAGTGTCCTACTTTCATCTTTTCCGTTCTAAATTTCATATATATATATATAGTGATGTGCTTGAAGTTTAATAATTGACTTCCTGGTGAAAAAGATTCTGACATCTTATGATATTTATAAGACTTTAATATATTTTTAACTGAAGATTTCCAAAAAAAAATACTCTAAACTTCTTCACTTTTTATAAATTTTTTCACAAACTATAGAATGAGAAATTTTAAAATAGCATTTCAATTTGTATAAAAAACTGAGAAAGAGTTATAAAATTTATACATATAAAAGTTTTGAAAAATTATGTGAAGAATTCTAAGAAAATTTTACATTAAGAAGGAATTATATAAGGTAATTTTAAATGTCTCTTTAATACATTATTTGTCCAGCGAATTTTGGATGTTTACCGTGTACAATAGAATTTTCATCATTGTATAATAATATTAAGATGTTATGTAAGTAAGGCTATACATCTTTATGAATAGTATGTTCAATAACGCACTTTTTATTTTACATTATTATCTAGCCGTTTGTCATTACAAATTGTATATTAAATTTTTTAATTATTTAACTTTTTAATTCTTTTACAAGAGTTTGAAAAAATTTTGATATCGTTTAGTAACTAAAGTCATGGATTAGATAACCGTGGCAATCAAGTATTAATGATTTATTTTTGGTAGGGATTATGTACTTTTTTTTATTAGAAGAATAATTTTTAATAGTTTAAATTTATTTCTATTATTCTTTCGGAAGATATGATTTTTTTCTACGCTTCAGTGTAAATATTCAACGTAATATTTTTTTATCTTTTTCATATTGCAGGTGCAATTTCTCATGTTGAAGTGTCAAAACGACAATCAAAATAACGATGTTGTGCCAGATCAATTTGTTAGCTCATTTATGTCTTCTATTCACGAGCTCTCTAATCAAACGGAAGTCGGAGATGATGGAAATTCCGACTTTAAGTTAAATCCTAATAAGACAATTTCGGCTCGATCAACCGATGAAAATAATACATTCAAAGATATTGCGAAATCGGTGAGTGAAGTGATGCTCAATTTATTCTTTGATTCCAATAAGAGGCCAAACTTGCGTTCGGAAATGCAAAATTACGTGACGACAAAGAATGAAACAAATAGTGATTACGGATTGATCAAATGGAGTGAACAGCGAGCGAGAAGATTGAAAAGGGTTGTGACAGATAGTGAAGAACAGCAGAGCGAGGAAAAAGGTGAAATACGGCGACAGGGCAAGAAAGAAAACAAAGAACAGCGACAGATCGAGAAGGAAGAAGTACTGCGACAGAATGAAGAAATAATAAGTAAAACACGGCGACAGAGTGACGATAAAGATAGAAGGCGTCAACGGAGCGGGAAAAACGGTGCAAAACGGCGAAGTGGGAATAAAAGGAACATACAGCGACAGTGCGAAAGATGCCACAGACGCTGCAATTGCGAACAATCGAGTATATCTACTTCCTTTATTAATATCCATTTTAATGTTTTCTATTCGTAATTCAGTGAACGAACTGAACTGTATGAATTACCGGTTAATCGATTTTGCATAATCGATTCGTTAAACGCTCAGTTAACTCAATGCAATTTATCTGAGCGAAATTGGATTTGATTAGAATCAAGACTAGATTTGAGAAATAATTTTACTCTATCTTGTAGGCCTATCAATAACGTTTGTTGGTGTAACACCACGGAATCAAATAAAGGTATTTAGCCAGTAAGCAAAATGTTAACAGTATGTTAGCAAATTCGAAGAAAATATTACGAGAAATTGGTCAATCGATTTTGCTCAATCGATTCGTTAACGCTCGGTTAATTTCAATGCAATTTACCTAAGCGAAACTATAGATTTGACTAATGATTCGAGAAATAATTTTACTCTATCTTATAGGCCCATTAGTAACTACGTCCGCTAGTGCAATACCGGAACCAAACAGAGGTATTTAGCAAGTAAAATGTTAGCAGTATGATAGCAGATTCGAAGAGAATATTACGGGAAATTGGTTAATCGATTTGTTAATTCTCTCCTAGCGAATTTGATTAGACACATCAGTGCGCACTCATTGCAGGGCATATTAATGCCGTTATACACTGTTCTAATCTCAATGTAAAATCGAACAATTATTTTGATTGATAAAATGCCTAATGCATATTTTGCCAAATATTACAATGAAGTATTATTAACAATTTCGCGACTTAATTTCGTTTTTAAGTCGATTTATACACGGAGAGAATTTTTTTTTTAAATTTACCCTGCAAATCATGTTAATTGTGGGACAATATAGTATTTAGAAAAATTTTACTGTGCACTACAATAAATTTGACAGTAGTAAAATACAGTAAAATTTATTGTAGTGTACAGTAAAATTTGCCTAAATACTATAGTGCCCCACAATTAACATGATTTGCAGGGTAAATTAAAAAAAATTCTGTGTATACAACGATTTATATACAATTTTAATATGCGAATGTGCACCAAGTGCGTCCAATTAAATTTGCTATCAGTTAACTCATCAATTTATCTGAGCAAAATTAGATTCAACTAAAATCAAAACCAATTCGACTAGATTTGAGAAATAATTTTATTTCTTACAGGTCCCTCAGTAGTTACGTTCGTTGGTGCAATACCGGAATCAAATCAAGGTATTCAACTAGTGAGCAAAATGCAATTAACAGTATGATAGCAGATTCGAAGAGAATAATACACGAAATTGGCGTTAATTGCGCCTGTATTAGATTCGTTCTGCTGGTAAAGTCTGCGGACATAATCTATCGGCAGATTGTCGGCAGAAATCCAGCAAAATCTGTCATTTTGTAAATCATTTAAAGGGACAGTTTGTAAAAAATTTTTTTAAAATAGATTTGACTATCTGGATCTATGGCCGGTATACATCGACATTTATTATTTATTAAAATGATAAAAGAATGCCGTTTGAAGCAAAAAACGCTGTTATTGTAACGTGAACGATATAAAATAAGTTTTTTTTTATTAAATAATAAGAACAAGTTATTAAAAACGCATACGTTTCGATCAAACTTCATGAATCATATTCGTTTCCTCGTTCTTGATAGTAAAACCATAGGATTAGTGTATCAATTGAGTTTGAGTCAAAATGTGACATTTTTTTGTACAGTCAGCTGTAAATCGAATAAATTGCTAGTCTGTGTACGTCGATGATATAACATTATAGAATATATAGGTAAAAATGGTATACGTCAAAGAGTAAAATAATAAATTATAATAAGTGAAATAATAAGTGAATAAATAAGTTATATTTTTGCAAAATGTAAAACTATTGCCTGTTATGACGAGGGATTACAATTTTTTGAGACTTAATTTCGGAGTAGAAAGAATCAAGAAGCTCATTGTCAGTGTCACTCCGTAAGGTTAAATCTTGTGATTGTTTTTTTTTTTTTATTGTATTTATCATCTCTGATATATTAGCCGTTTGTTAAGGTGAGCTTTTTCATCCAAAATTTCAATGTGATCATCGAAGTCATGTAAGAAATCTCTTCGCTATGTTCAGTATGATTACGTCGTGTTTCGCTTAATAGTTTCTGTGTTCGATGTTTCTAATATATCTTATCCTTTAGCATTCTATCAGTCTGTTTCACGTATGATTACAGCAAGCAATTTATTTTGAATTACGTACGTTAAAAAATTGGAAGAAAATCTTTTTGTATCTTTATGCATCTATTGTGTTTATTAAGATCTGTGAACGCTAGGTTTAAATCTTGAATCGTTTTTATAAATTGCTTAAACTTTTCTGCAACGAACGGGATGTAAGGGATAGTGAAAAACGTCTTTTTATTGACTCCATCTTGAGAGGCACTAAGATTAAGTCTAACGGATTTCCGGTGATAAATTGATGCGGTGATAAATATCTTATTAGATAATGGGTATCCGTTAGACTTTATCTTTTCTTCTATCAAAGATAGAAGACTTAAAAATCAAGTTTTAGATACTGAATAAACGTAATATTCTATATGTAATAGTGTAATGCTTCAAAAGGTATTCTTTTACTATTTTAATTGATTTATCAATTCGGAGCGTAACACTTATTTATTATTTATTATAATTTTCTAATTTTTTAAAACTGTTTTATAAGTATAGTTTTAAGATGCCGTAAAAGCCAATCACAAAGTCGTATTAATTACTCAAGACGATCTTAAAATAAGAACCTATTATGAATGATCGGCTCGTAATTCAATAATTGTCTTATTTTAATGTTTCTCGAGCTTATTTATATATACATAATATTTATATATACAATAAATAACTGAACTCTTTTTTATTTAATATGTGTGTGAATAAATACGAGATATTTGTGTAGCTTTGTATATTAAAAAATTGTTTTTCTTCTTCTAGTTCGTATCGGACCTTGGAATAAGAAAGAAACAAGCAAAGTGAGCCAGCAATATGATTTCACGCCATTTTATTTGACAAATGATTCGATTGAAGTTAGCATAAATGGTTTATTTTTTATCTCTGTGCAGGTAAAGATTTGTTTACTGAATTATAATAATACTGGAAAGAGAGTACTGGTCATATATGTCTCTATGTATCAAAGTTTACATATGTCAAGGAAAAGCGTAGATTTATTATGGATTGATTGCTTAAATTCTTTTTCTTCTTCGTCGCCTCGTTAATCTGGCTCGCGATCTCGAAACTGAGATTGATGCGATCAGTAACCAATAGATTAGTTGCTCACAGAACAAAGTTAGACAGTTCGAGTTCAACATTTTCCGTGCGACGAAAAATTTGATTAATTGGTTAATTAGATTTTCGCCGCACGACAATTAGCGTTGCCACGTCCTGTGAGCAACAGGCGATAGTTGAATTAGGTACAGAATCGTGTATGCAGTCAGAAAACTTATATATGTGAAAACTTACATATAGAATGTGTGTTTAAATCATTAGCTCGGAATTCTAATTTTTTAATTATCTCTTAATATGGCATATGTATATAGGATAAGAGCTTGGATTGAACGCGGAATTCGCGACTACCAACCTATCGGTTACTTCGCATGAAGCCACTGTCATTCCACTGCATGTGTTAGAAGCGTGAAGACAAAAGAAAGCAATACCGAGTTGGGCTAATATTTCATTTGTTATACGGCAAATTTTTTAAACGTATTGATTGGCTAGGCTGTAAGATAGAGAATTTCTAGGGATTCGAGAACTTTTCTATAGACTGTATCCTGCAACTAAAGCGTCGTCTACAAAGGGCAGTAGTAGTAATGGATTAAGGAGTAAGCTGTAGGATTAAAGTCTCTTACATTAAAATTTTCTTGCTTTCGCCAAACTTCAAATATACATCTATCTCACTTTAAATGTACATACACTAATACAGCCATAGAGAACAGATCTATTATGTGACAGAGAGAACTTTGACGTATGTCTTTGTTCTTCAATATTATGTTTGCTATCGCACATATAAATCCCCATCAATTGCGCAATCTATCTATATATAAATCTATGCTTATTTATATACTATATATAGCGATGGTATATTTATGGAGAACAAAAATCTATAGGCACTTGTATAAATGTATAAGTCTATGCAAAAACCTAAATAAACTTTTAAGAAAGGGGAAGAGCGAGAGATCAGAGAGAGAGAGAGAGAGAGAGAGAGAGAGAGAGAGAGAGAGAGAGAGAGAAGCAGAAACACATTATTATATAGAAATTCTGTTTATCGGCTAATTAGTGACTTGTCAGTGTTATTCCAGTATTACATGTTATAATTCAGTTATATTCAGTGGATTTGTGAAATAACAATTATTAAATTGAAGTTTACAGATAATTTTTCACTTATTACAAATAAAAAATATTCTTTACAGGTTTATTATTCTGGAAATAATAAGGACATGTATCATTCTTATTGGGTAATGTTATTGTCTCTGGGTGCATCGGCTCCAGAAAAGCTCATTAAATGTGGTTCTTTTAATATCGAAGTCTCATGTTATACGAGTATAACTACGTATTTACAAAAAGGTGATAGATTGTACCTAGAACAAGAGGCGATTAGGTAAATATAAAGATATGTAAATATTTATTTTTCAAAAATCTTTACATGGAAGATAAATTTCGAAAATAGAAATATTAGAATGTCATTCAGACATCTTTACGTACATGACATCGTTTACATGTAGTATTATAATAAAAATATCTTGACTTATTACAAGAAAAATTTAAACTTTTTATTTTTCTATATGTATATGATTAGATGATAACATTTCGAGAATTCTTGGAAAATTTTTTTACTTCTCAACAGTTGTCAGATTTGGGCAGTCATTGTCCACTCTGTACGAAATGTTTTGACGCTTCCAGAATGCGAAATACGCATACGATTTCAAAATAATATTTTACACTTTTAGAACGGTTAATTTGGAAAAGGGATATAGTCAAATACAAATTGTGCTGCTTTCCAGCGATAGAAACGAAGAGGATAAAAAAGCAACGTAGAGTTTAGAAGTTCTAAAATAGATGTAAATATATAAGCTAATCGTATATTAAGTGACAACTAACGTTTATAACGATTGTAAGTCAACGGTTGTGATTAAGATAAAAATTATCTTAAGACTACGAGATAATTTAAGGTACTTATTAGAAGAAGATTTAATGTGATACTACGCTACTACATTCAATGAACTTTATCTTATTGACAAAAGAGTTTTGCAGTAGCGTAAATTATCATTGTGTTTATCATAATAATTGAAGATCACGGTTACAAGAATGTAATAAAGACAGAGTAACCTATTTCTAGACTATTGATTGCTTAGAAAAACATAAAATATGAGATTCGAAGACAAAGAATAAGAAATGATAGTCATTATAACAACCCACTAAACTTTGACCATTACGTTTTCGAAACGTCATACTAACATCTCGGTGACAGTAAATGTTTTGCCTCTAAGACGTTCCAGAAAAATGTTTTATTTAAATAACGTTATTATAACGTACAAGTAACGTAACAATCGATTTCGTATAATGACACATTCCTGTTACGTCGCAAAAATCTCGAGGTTGGACATTTGCTGTCGTCGAGATATTAGTATGACGTTTCGACAACATAATAATCAAAATGTTTAACGGGAATTTATAATTGACTTCGCAGATTTTATTCCGCAAGTATTGTATTTATTTTTTAATATTTAGTATTGATTGAAAGATACTATCAGTTTCTCAAATGTGAAGAATACGCAAATCTATTTCCTTCTATTAATTCGTTCGTTCATGAATTTTATTCTGTATTATGTAAGTTTTTATTTTATACGTATTTTTGTATCAATATTTTTTTTAAGAAAATACATTTTATAAATTGCTACATCTCACTTCAAAAATAGAATCTTGTACAGATGTGATGTTAGTGTTATCGATAATTAGTGAGATCATAAATTTGCTCATTGTTCAGTTATTTTAAGGTAATTTCCACACATTTTTTATATTTTTATAAAAAGCTATAAGAGAAAAATGTTATCTTTGTGTATTACAGATAATTGTTAAATTTGGAACTTATGCCAATGTAACAAAGAATGTAAAAAATTACAAAGAATTTTAATAAAATGTCGGACTTGCATTATTTGGGTACTATTTCATTATTCATGGTCTTATATATAGAATAAAGACAATAGATGTAGATCGGGTACTAGTTCTGGATAATTTATATTTAAATAATTATTGTATTTTTTATTGAATAGCGTATATCACAAGATTCTTTAGTATTTATGTCAGTTTTGTCAATTGTTTTTTGCAATTGTTACTAGCAACAACGTTACATATTTTATTGATATGATCATTAAGTAGTAAACGTCAAACGTCAATTTAGGTGTATCTTTAAAATTTCATTTAAAGTTTAAATAGTAATAAATGCTTTAAATTTATTATTTTTATAATTATAAATCCTTATAATTATAAAAGGATTGGCTTATGGCTTTTACAGGAAATAACATTAGATTTCATGGAAAAATTAACATTATGCTCAGTTAAAATTAAACATGTTTCATAGATATTCTGCAGAAGAATATCCAGAGGAAATTTAAATTGTGTATAATTTTCATTATTTTATTTTGTTAAAATAATAAAATATGAAGTAATAAAATTGAATAAAATAATTCATAAAGTATTATGCTAAATTACAACTATTAAATGTTAAGATTAATGTTATTAATTGTTCGATATCTTTTTGGATAAAAATACCAATATTTTTATCCTTAGAGTGATTTAGAACTAATGGTCTTACCCTATAATATGCATGATATATGCATATTATAAATCCATTAAACCTACTCTGATTTTATTAAAAGACTGTATGAGGAAATTATAGATTTGATTTCATGTTGTTCCTGCATTTCTAAAATTTATTTGTGTTTATGCATTGAATATGAAGTACAGAAACATAGGAAGTATATACAAGAGTGTATTTACAATGACGATATACAAAACTTACGATTAAACATGAGTATGTATACCTAATAATTGTCCGCTTTTATACATGCTTCTAATACGTGACTAATGCGCGCTAACGAGCTTCGTCATTAATAACTTACGCCACTTACGTTTGAATACACCTACGCGCTCACAACTTACGCTATAAATACAAAAACTATTTGGTAATCGTTGGTACCACCAAGAAAGTACTGATTGTCTGTCGAGGATTAAATCGGTTTATCCATCGGAAGCAGCTTCTTTCTTTTATATTATTTCTGTATTTTTGCGAAGTTTGACATCTGTAAGCTCATAATTACGATTAAATATCCATATAGCGAAATATCTTATTGTGTATAGTGAATTAGCTGACTGCCCGTAAAGTGATTTTCCTCTGTTGCGCTGCTCTCTTATAATAATATTCACGTTTGCCATGGGATGACCACGTGTTAGAAAGTGAGCGAGAAAAAAAGCATGCCACAATATTTTGTGCTACTGAAATAAGAATGGCAACAGAAAATTTCACAATAAGAATATTGTTTGAATGTTACAATATTTTTCTAACGATTTCATAATACAAATATTCGATTGTACCTGCGATGAAAAAAAGCTACGGAGTGGCGTATATCATCGATATAATGTAATTATTAGACTCAAACCATTTAAAAAAATTGTGAAATCGAAAGATTTTTATTTATCGCGTGTCTTAATTATTCTAAAATTATCTGACTGATTCGATCATTCGGTATACTAAAATCCTTATGATTAATTCTTTATGTTACTGAAATAAAGTTACGCATACAGGGTGATTCGTAAAAGAAAAAAAAAACGAAACAATTTAAGAGCAGATTTCTGATTATTTCGAGAGAATCCTAATAATCGAGAGAACCCAAAAATATGAAATTGAGCCTATAATAGTTTTTGAGTCGTAAGCATTTAACATTACCAAATTAGGTCGTATAAGGTTTGCACGCACTTAGGTGTACATACAAAAAATGCCATTGATGCCTTCCTACATGAAGTCGATTTTCTCAGACACATTTCTCAGATATGCATCTAGATATATATATGATGATACCACAGGCCTGCGAAATTAAGAGCCTTGAAAGAAACAAATAGCAGAATAGTAACTTTCTACGTAATTTTGGTGGCCGAATCCGAATCCGTTAGCGAGAAATGTCCAATACATTCGGTAATATGAGGCAAGAACAGTGATTTTTGTCATTTTCAAGGTGCTGTGGTTGATTAATATATATATAATATATATATTTAATAATTATATTTTTAATGTTCTCTCAGAGGAATCATAAAGCGCTACCTCTTACCTCTAAATAGTGACTTGGTTTATTCCTGTATTCTTTTTCGCCGAGTTATGAAGATTTCAAGATGAAAACTTATCGACGATGAGGCTATGCTCTGTCGAAGTAGTGAAAAATAGGCACTCGGTGAATTATAAAGTATAATATATTCAAAGTATCGATGCTTCGATTAGTTGGGACAATATTAAAAATATAATTTGGTCAATCACAGTAACGCCTTGAAAATGGCAAAAATCACTGTTTTTTTTTGCCCACATTTAAAAACACCTGTTGTGACGGACATTTTTCGTTGGCGGATTTGGTGACCAAAATTATGCGTTAGGTAGTCACTACTCTGCTACTCGTATTTTTCAAGAACCGTAATTTCGCAGGCCCTTTAATTAAATTCATCAATATTGCTTATAGTCAGGGTTGGGAACGTTACCTTAAAAAAATAACGCGTTACAGTTACCGTTATTTTTCTTGTTCATTATTAAGAGTGCATTCCAATATTCACTAATAGTACTAAAATTTATATAGTGTATGGAATGTGAATTATAAATTTTCAGTACTGTGACTATTGAAATGTAGCCTAAGAGATATAAGGTACAAAATATTTTTCAAAAAATAAATTAAAAATATATGATTAAAATAAGAAAATAAAAGTATAAAAAACGATAAAAGTAACGACAAATTCGTTACCGTTACAGTAAAAATGTAATGACGATTACCGCTATCGTTACAGATAGAAAAAAGTAACGAAAACGGAAACAACGTTACAAACAAGTAACGCGTTACTTCCCAACTCTGCTTGTAATATGTACATGTGTATATATTATATGTGTATTATGACATAATATTATACAGCTCTAGAGCAATATCAACAATGCCAATCGAATGATATAGAGATATCTAAGATGTGAAACATTTGATCAAAGGAAACGAACTTCAAGTGAAAAGTACAATAAAAGAAAATCATAATAACCATCTCATTATTTTTGCATATACACGTAAATTTTATCTTGATAACTAGAACATTATAAGCGATTTAACAAAGAGAGAGAGAGAATTTTTAACATTGTACATCTGAGCGCGTAAATTTTAGGTAGCCTGATTCGTTAACTTAAAATACTTACAGCACAAAATTTATTTTAACTTCAATATTTTGGTATTAGGATTTTTGTTCTCAAAATCTCAAAAATCTCTCCCTTAATATTGTTGAAATTTTATTGTGTTTTAATGGGACCCTGTATATAACGATTAAACAACAATCTATTGAGGCGTTGATTTATACAAAATTGATAAGATTGTAATACCAGCACACAAAAATAATATTTTTTTCATATCATTCGTAAATACTCATTCATTTTTTTTGCAGGAGATCGGATATTCCCTTTAACGTCACACCTTCATGTTTCTTCTGGTTATCCAAAGTATCTTATCGTATCTTTAGACTTCAGAAGATCTCAAGAAACAAATCCGAACAATTGAATTCCGAAAGTAATGAAGAAATATTGTTTATTCGATTATCAGATTGACTTGGGGCTTGCCGCAACAGTGAACAATGAAATAATCCAACATTTTATAACATTTCATAGAAATGAAGAAAAAATAAATTTATTATTTTAAGTTCAAACTTCATTTTCTCCGTTATTACAAAATATGAGTAGCGATGTGATCCACTTGTTGCAGCAAGCCTGCATTCAATTATTCTCTCTTAGTTTAGCTGGCCTCTGCATCAATGAGTGCTGTTTTATTTTTATTTTCAATTTTATCGTCAGTTGGAGGGGAAGAACAATCTAATGACAGCCGCAACTCTTAACGACCATGTTCTTATACTTTTTCAAGATGACATTGCTCTCATCTAAGAAATATAAGACGGAAATGGCCGAAAGCTTAGTGGGCGCGCAGCACGGCTTGGGTACCTTGCCCGGGCTCACCAAGTGCACTAGAGTCTGGACTATCGCGTGATTCGTCGCGTTCATATGAGCGTTCAACGGAAAGTTGCACTCGCCGCTGCAGTAATACGCATCATACCCGTCCGGTGCGATAATCCAATCCTATGCAACGAAATAAATCGTAAGAAATGACGTGCATATAATCTTAAGACGCTTGATTCCTCACTGCAGACGTTGGATTCGTAGAAAACACATACGATTCCTTGCCTGTGACACCGTAATCTGACACGGCGTGAGGAACTAGAGGCTTATTAAAGACACGTTGATTAATAGCTCACCTGCCACTGCAAATCGCGGAAGCTGACATATAATGTTTGTATCTTGCAGGTTCGTGAATATTGCGCTCCAGGATCTGTAAAAACATATTTTTCATCACATATACCTTTTCTTTATTTATAAATTTTGCCGATTGACATAGAGAGAAGAAACAGAAGAGGAGAAAGAACAGGAAAGGGAGAAAGAGAAAGAACAAAGAAATCAAGTTTATGTTTCATTATATATACTATAGTTACCAAAAATTTCTGGCCAACATATAATTTTACGAAATTAAAAAAAAAACATGTGAGTAAATTTCTGATTATATCAATATTACTGATTTCATTGCTCACTTAAAATTAAAGATATTAAAATTGTTTATACATGATACGATATATAATTAATAATTTTCAATATTTTAAAATACTTTAAAATTACTTATTAGCTGGAAATTTTTAGCTAATAAGTAATTTTAATGCATTGAAAATTTTATATATCTACATGTATGTATATAATTTATATATATAAATATAAAAAAAATTATATATTGTATATACATATTACATTGTATATATACATTGTACATACAATATATAATTTTTTTATATTTATATATATAAATTATATACATATGTATATGTAGATATATAAAATTTTCGATGCATTAAAATTACTTATTAGCTAAAAATTTCCAGCTAATAAGTAATTTTAAAGTATTTTAAAGTATTTTAAAATAAATATATATATATATAAATTTATAATTATATTTGTAAAAAATATATAATATATGCATGCACACTCTTTTCTTTCCTGTTCTGTATGTAAATCATATACATATAAATATATGTAAGTCAAATTGGGATTGCAATATCCCATACGCGAATTTACCAGTGTAAGGATTAGTCCGTTGGTAATCCCAACTATTGGTCTCACTCTTCTTCTTCCTTTTGGCGTCGCGCTTCTTTCGGACCTTGGACTCCCTTACTCCCGAACTCTTGAAGTAGCCCGTTATAAAGGGTTGTTTATCTGGATCACCCCGGAATACTACAATCCCGACATCCTCTGGTCTCACTTCGTGCGCTACAATATTAATTGAAGAAATGAACGGATGAAATCATAACTGGCTCTCAGTAGATTTCAGCGGTGGTAGCTTACTAGCTTATTTTTTTTTTTTTTAGGAACATATATTTATTTCTTTAAAGCAATAATATGGAGATACGATTAAATAATACAGAATAAAATAATGGCATACAAAAATATGTATAAAATAGAGGAAGGCACAGAAGAGAGTATATAGAAGAGAAGAAAAATATATTGAACGTCGCTAGAAATATCGATGCATCGTTGCTCTCGGCGCGCTATAGAGGTGTTCCGTGAAAATCGCGCATTGCGAAAACAGGTGACTCCTGCTCACACATTTCGAATCTTTGTTCCGTAAGTAGAATGTATCAGGTATACGTGTTTATTAGAATGGCATGCGTCTCTCGGGGATTATTAATAGTCAACCTTCATGAATATTGAACGCACAAGAATCCCGGCGCAAAGTCAAGCCCCGGCTTATCTTAGACATTCACTTCCAACGACACGCGTTTTTAGTTATCTCGTTTTAATTACTCGGAAAAATTCCAGGAATTGCACGGAAGGAGTTCGGCGGGGGGAGGGGCGGGAGGGTGCAGCTCACGTGAAATTCGTGATCCGTTCAAGCGGATCGAACATCGAATCGTCGATAACGCGCATGTTTACTTATTACCTTTCAATTTCACAATTTCGAAATTCGGGAGTTCCGCGCGATTTTTTTCATTATAATTCCATTACGCCGATAACTCGATCGTTATAGAGAGTTTATCGCGCCCGTTTATCCGAACTTCCGTCCCACGGTGTTATATCTCGCTCCGCGTGATCTTATCTCTCGCGGAGAATGAAGTCTTAAAGGGAGGAGAGATACAAATCGGGAATGCGAGTCGACCGCGCTCGCGACGCGAGGCCTAGGAGAGGCCTCGTCGTCGCGGCGAGCGATCGTATGCAAATGATCCTCGGGTACTCGCGGCACGGAGCGCGGCGCAACGTGGTGTGTATACCGCGTGTGTGCGCTCCGAGTGCGCGCGAGTCCGAGAAAGCTAGTAAATTGACCGGCAGGAATGCGCATTTGCCGTGATTGCGGCGGACACCTGCCGCCGCAGTTGTTGCACTTTGCGCTGCTCCTGAGGAATGCGCGCCGGCTCCGCGGCGCACGGCGTGCGTGCCTCTCCGAGGCGACGTATTCAAGTTCTGTGTCAAGTAATTTTGTCATCCTTCCCATTTGTTCGTAGCACCGGCTGACGACACGTTCCGACGCCAGGCGGTTGTTACCGGCGCTGCGATGAATGGTTATTAACTTTTTGTAACGCCATGCACGTAATTTTGTAGTCGCGTATATTCATGTAACTGTATTCTTTAATGTGATACTTTTTGTAATAAATTCTTTACAGTGTTTTAAGATGCTTTATAATCATCAGTAATTATTAAATTGCTCGGCAATTATATATTTGTGATATTTATATATATATACGTATTCCAGTTTCAGTTTGGGACTGTGTGTTTCAAGACCGACAAATAATTGGCGCGCAATTTGCCGATGAATTGAAAAGTGTGAAAATTCACGCAAAAATATTATTAGACATTACGATCCGCTTTGAACAGAGAATAGGACCTTTCATTGTTCATTTGAACTTTAGAAATATTTTTCGTATTTTACTAGTGTGCTATTCTTCGGCCTGTGGTTTATGCTTCCGTTTTTAATCTTAAAATCCTAAAATTCAACCAGTGAGAGCACAGATTTTGGCTAGTTGACATGTAAGGATTTTAGGATTAAGACCGAGGCATAAACCAGGCCCCTTTGTCGTAATATCATAATCCAGAAGTTTGGTTACAGTTGTTTTCCTGCGAAGAAAAAGCTCATTGGTCTTTTCCGACCAGGGACATTATAGAATACTATTAGAGTGTAAAAGTGTTTCTCTTTAAAATAAAATATTCTCAAGGCGTTACACATCTCGATTTAATTTCAAATACGAATTGTTTTACGGGGACTTCCACATTAAATGAAACTTATGTTACGTATGTACAATGTTGTATCCCATTGTGTGACTTGTGATTTCAAAGTTCTAAATCATTAAAAAAAAATGAAATATTAAAAAATTGAAAATAAATTATTAATTCAAATCTCAGAGTTAACATTTGCTAGTTACAGTTATGTAATATTTTTCGAATGTGAAAAAAAATTGGGTTATAGGTTAAATCCACATCTACCTTCGTACACGTACGCGTGGCCGCGTAAGGGAACGTAATTGCGGTTTTCGAAAGCGGGCACGCGATTGCCGCCGATCTGTTCGCAGCTGTAAATTAAAAGTGATTACGTTCGTCGGTGAACGTCACCACTCGCGAACGATCTTGCCGTTTCTCCTTTCATTATTATTAATCCGAATTTCAGCGGTCTTGAGCAGAATAAGACAGAAAAAAAAGAGGAAAGGAAGACAAGGATTGGACTCAATCTCATTGTCGCGATCGTGAACATCAGATTTATGAAATTTTATTTACCTTTGCACGTCCTTTATGCACAAAGTAAATTGAATTCGAAAACGAAAGGTTTACTTGATATTTGAAAAACTGACGAGAACACTCTCTTCTAAGCATCAATTTTTTGTCAATTTTACCTAAAAAAATGTTTTTCAATTCACAATTTTGTTAATATTATTGCAGATGATCTCTTGAAGTACAGCTCTCTGCAATACGTTCGTTTCTATGTCAAAATATTACTCGTAGTTTAATAATTACTTTTCATTATCAATAGATTATCAGTTTTTATACGTGAAATAAATTTTTAAATTTTGTCAAAATAATTAGTATTATTGCCTCATCTCTCTTGAAACATAGCTTTCTGTTGTATTTTTATTTCTTTATGCAAAATATTTCGCATTCGCATGTCAGTAAAAAATTGCCGCCGCAGTGGCTGTTTTATTTGTGCGCTCGATGAAATGAATGTGGCTGACGAATATGTAATTATTGTTGATTTATATTTAGGATTAGCTTATATTTAGATACAGGTGAGATATCCTTGGAGTTTCTCACAGGGAGTTTCACAAACGCGACGAGAGAGAATAAGAAAAAGAGAGCCAGAGAGAGAGAGAGAGAGTGAGAGAGAGGTAGGAATCAGGCGTAAAGATTCGTGAGAGGCATGTGACTCTCTGATCTTGCGTTTTATATTGAACGATCAAAGGTAAACCGGTTGCGCGTTCTGAAGAGCGAGACAAGAGAAAAGAGGAGAGAAGCCAGATGCGAGAGAAAGAGAGCAAATAATGAAATAATCTAGGCGCGGCGAATAACAAACCACATACACATATAACACAAGGTATGTACATACATACAGATGTATGTACATACCTTGAATACACATACGCAATTTGTACACTTGATTTGATGTTTATGTTCACATTAATATCCAGTATTATCCAGCGCTATCTCATTACAATTTTTATACAGAATGTAATAATTTAACGATAAATTGTGTTAATATTAATAATACATACTGTATTGCCAAGAAAAGGGCGTTTAATTTATATTTGACAACAAAATTTGAAAACAAAAGAGCAATTCTTGCAAAACTAAATGAATAAAGTGTTGTCTATTTTCCTATACTTAAATACTTTCGTGTTACATCTAAACAATTAATGTCTTGCGAATTGCTTGATTACAATCTGCTCAAATCGGCAGCTATGTTTGTGTCACTAGATTAAGCAAGATTCTCATCTATATAATAATTTACAATAATTTTTCAAATAGTAGCTTTATTATCAATCTTTTTTGACAATAATTTTTATTTAGAAATTTAATGACAAAATCGAATCTATCCTTTTCTTCGTATCTCTTTTGTTATCTCTCTCTTTCTCTTGTCTTACTCAAAAGAGATCGCTAGTTTCTTAAAAATAACACGAGCACCTTTCGCGTTCGTGAGTATATCAGCGTGGGAAGACAAGGCGACGCCATCGCAGATGATGTATCCCCAATGGTAATAAAGTATGCGAGTGAATCGCGAGCAAGATCAAATGAATAAGAAATTATGTTTGACTTCTCAAAAGGGATGAGATATACTCTTGCGCTTTTTTCTAATATAATTATATTAAATTGCAAAAAGAAACAAAGAAAGAAAGTAAAAGTTGGATGATAACTTAAGACGAGACAAAGTCACTTGAGAATAAAATTTTTAAGAAAAATTTACGTCAGCTGTTATCCATTATTTCGAGATTTTTAGAATGTCTCACAAAGTTTATTCTCATCTGCTATATTTCAAAATTATGAAAAACCGCGAAATACGTTTTTTTTTCTTATAGGATGGGGACAGATTTTGTAGAGACCCTGTATTTTGACATTTCATTTATTTAAATTTTTATAAATATTTGTTTAAATATTGAATTCAATGTAATAAAATCTTTAATTAATGATTGAATTAAAAATTTGGTTAAAAAATTTTATTTTGTGATATCATGGAAAATTTTGATTATCATGATATTCCTGATGTCTTCGACTTCGCGAAATCCAGTTTTTTGTCAATTTAAATTGCGGTAAGACGCAAGAGTAATCGATTAAACATCGTCTCTCTCTCTCTTTCTCTTTATGAATCACAAACGCAGAAAAACTAGGAAGAGATTCGAGATTCAAGAGCTGTCAACTCGCTACTAATCTTTCTTGTCACGCACACGCAGCATTTACACAAAGGTATGGTGGTGAGAGAGTGCTGAACAGGTGTAGTGCATGGAGGAAACACACAACGTATGTATATATGTATACATATAACCGCCAAGCATATATAAGAATCAAGGATACGCTTCTCTAATCCAAATAAAACTTAAAGCTTACCTACATTCTTAAAATATTATATAAAGCTCTCGAAAGCCAAACTGATTGATTCAAATAAAAAAATAGATATAATCAAAATTATAAACAAATCACGTGTTCTGAATTAAAATTTAAAAAATTTATAAAAAGTGGAGTTGGTCAATTTTGCTTCTGAGAAAGTACGTGAGAGAAAAATCGATTATTTCTTTTTTATCGTCTGAAAAGATATAAATTTCCGAATAATCCCAAGAGTTAAAATGAATTCTCTCATACTTTGCTCGCGGCCCGATTTCGATCAACATCGAACGTTTATTATCAAAGCGTTCGAAATCGCTCGAACCAAAACCGTTCTATATTTAACACGCTATTCCTAAGAAGTCAGGCTGAGAAGTTTGGATGGAAACACGTTTATAATAGGAGACTTGCGATTTGATCCGCAAGTGTTTATAGAGTTTTTGCTTTGAAAGTTCTTTCTTTTCTCCTTTTTACGAATATCTTCTCTTTATTTTTCAATAATATATCATCTCATATCCATTTTTGTGGGAATAATAGTGCGGTTAGGAGTAAAATGTTCTATTCAATGGCTTTAAATTATTTATCGAATGAATATCTTCTTTCAAGGACATTGGAAGAAAACTAGAAGAAATAAAACACTTACCTAAACGATCAGTAGGATGCACAGAGAGATACAGCCCTTCATTTCCGTTCGGGTTGTTCACCCAGTGATTAAGAGCTTCGCTGATGTTCAATGTCAGCCAGCCTTCCTTGCGGTCCGTAACATTTACGGCATCAATGTACTGTAATTCCTGAGTTCTGAAATTGAGACGAGAGGGCTGTATCTTTATGATCCAGTCAAATTTACAACAAACAGTAGGAATAAGGAAAAACCTCATTGTTATCCAATTATGTATACCAATTTTCTAATCGACAGTCTGCTTAAATTTACGCAATAAATTTTCGAATCTTATTTGAAAATATAATGACGAAAAATATTTAAGATTCACAGTATTAAAAAGTATTAAAATTAGTAGCCCGTTTCAAAAGTTGATCTAAGGAAAGTTGACTTCGGGAGGTTCAAAGATTGATTGCGCCGTCAAAATAAAGATAAGCGATTCCGGGAGACATAACGTATTCTCAAATGCGGCTATTCGTACATACATAGAAATGCCTTAACTTGAAAATACGTTTGAAATATATCCTACAAACGTGTTTTTAAGCTTCAGTCTTCGAGAAACTCAGTTCGTTTGAGAAGGTTTTAATCTCGATTGTATTACATAAAAACGCTACACGGACGCGTTTATTATTGATTGTGCGCGACAGGTATTCTTGTTTAGTGTGATAGATAGATGGATAGATACTCCGTGCACGTAAACACGGCGGAAAAGCTGCACGCTCGGCAACGCCGACCGTCACGCACGGCGTGTTGTCCGACACGAATGCATTGTCGTGATTCCTCGTATTGTAATTTCTAATTAATCGCGAAGCCGCGCGTGCCGCGCATCAATAAGAAGCCTCAGCGAGGAAACACGCCGATCATTGTTCATTAAGCAAATGATCTTCGCAGCATCTAACTCTTATCGGTTTTCCGCAAATCGATTATCATAATTGAACGGGTTGTGAGACTCCCGTGTTCTTCGAGATCGAATCTCGCGATGGTTTCCAGCCTGATGAAATTGAATGAAATCGTTTTGCTCCAATTTGCGGCGAATTCGGATTTCGATTAAACATTTAAATTTACTTTCTTAGGCAAGACATATAAAGATTGATTGATGAAAAAAAAAACGCTAGATTTATTCATTTGCACGAACTCCTCAGAAAAACTTATTGTTATTTTTGTTAGGAATTTTGGTATAGGAATAATTGCTAAATTTAAATATCTACAGAAAATGAAATGAAATAAAAATTCATAAATCATAAATCATAAATCATAACGGGCCTCCAGAAATTGCTAGAATTGTCGAAGCTCTGCTTTAATTTTCATTTACAAATGAATCAATCTTGTTGCGATTTTATATGCAACTTTTCTTACTTCAAGACTTATCAACCACTTATCAACCATTGGAATTCCGTATTCATGTTTCTAACGATGTACCGCAATGAAGAGGTTTTATTACGAAAGCAACGAGAGTCGCCAGCTTGTCTCGCGACGAAGAAGAGGCAGGGGGAGAGAAAGAAGGAGGTGGAGAATGCGTCACGCATAGTTTGACTTTGATGGACGAAGCCGAAAGAGCCGTAGAGGGTGAGAAGGAGAGAGACGCGACGATCGAGCGCAACTGCGTAGGCAGAAGAGACGGAGAGACACGCGAGGAGGGCCTGTTAACCCGTCTCTACGGCTAATTTACCTCAATTTACGGAATAGCGTTTCCTGTCGGGGGCCTGTATATCGGTCAGGCTCAGGTCACCAGTGCCAAAAGTCCCCCGAGGGGAGGGAGAAGAGAAACGCGCGGAGGGGGGGGGGGACGACGAGACGCGAGACGCGTAGTCGGCTGTTACTCCACAATCCCTCGGTAGTAAATCAAAGGGCTGCAAAGAGGCCCCGTACTAGGTGGCCGAAACTTGCGAAATGAAAGATTCAAACTTTGGATAAACCTCGGACCCTCGTATCTGATGTGTTAGGAGTTTAGTGCGGCCCTCGATGAAATCCCGATTACGCCCAAGCTACCTCAGAAGCGGGCATCTCTCCTCGTATCTCCTCGACGCGAAATTTCAGAAGAGGGATTAGTTCGTGATCTTACAAATTTGTTGGTAAAACCATCCACGCCCGAACTCTCTCTCTCTCCGAAAGAACAACTTCGCTGATTAAAATCTAAAAAATTTTCGGTCACGAGTTCCTCACTCCCTGCAGGTATGTCGAACTTAAAAGACAATTAGGGACCGGCCGTGATGATTCGAGTAACGAGGAATGCCGAGGGTGGTAACACGGCGATCTCTGAAAACGGGCAATTCTTTTCAGAATTAACAGAACGGGGCGCTTAAAAGTGTATACTTAAAAAGCACAGTTACGACGGCCATTAGCGGCGACGGGACGTCTCTCGTGACTCACGGTTTGTAGGACGGAGCGGTACGTTCATTAGAGATAGAGCGTCTCTAGACAGACCGTCGCCATTTACCGCCGGCGTGGAGGTTTGCCCTCTCGAATTAACTCACTACGCTTTCCTTTTTATGATGCGGTTCCCACCCGGACGGGATGGTCCCCGCTGGTGGGCCTGCGGCTAACGGCTACATATGTATATCACGATATATTTCCGATTATCCGCTCTGCACGTCATCGGTAGACAATTGTTTTCCAGGCCGAAAGATAAATATTTTTCAATGGAACGAAAAAAGGAGCTGAAAACACCTATTGTCCCTTAAACAAGGGAACTGTATGACACGAACGAGGGAAGATGGTGAAGTCGAAGATACACGAAGGAGAACGCGTTCTCAGCGGAATACTCGGGAGTTTTTTTCCCCTACGTTCCACACAGGTAGAATAAATGCCTGAGACTCTTTCGGCGAAGGATTAAGGACCTCCTAATTAGGGGTACGATGACGATGTCAAAAACCGCGAAGGATGCCCGGAGAAACATGAAATTGGTCTAACCTAGGCGTCCTTGGCACAAAAGCCGGCGAACAACGAGTACCGTCTCTCTCGTTTCGACCTTATTATCGGAACACGAAAGATGTTTTTTTAGCATTTATCGAGCCTCCCGGAATTTCAGTTTGATCTCTTAAATTTTTATCTAACAATTTTTGAATTGTCGCTTAAATGCACCGGCGCGCGTCCATTTCAGAAATATAGAAAATGGATGATGGATCTTCTTACCCGTTTCCAGCATTCAACACTCGGTACACCGTGATCGTGTGAGAGCCATGCCTCCTCTGACTCCTCGTGTGCGCACTGTGATACAGCCTGAGCTCAGCGCCGATCATGTATTCTTCAGGTGGTACTTCGGACACGTCGAACCAGAGCCTCTTCCCACGTTCGTGTCTCACCCCGGCGTGACGATCTATTTTAAATTACAAGTCCGCGATCAGTCGGGCACCATTCAGGAGTCGCTCACAATAATAATCACGTAACAAAAAGTCATACATTGCGCGGTCCGTAAATTTCGACATAAAACTCGTATAAAATAAAGAACATATAAAAAAAATATTTTGAATGCTTTTTTATTTAAAATAGGATTCTTTACAATCAATCACACCGCTCTCGTTTCAATCTTATGTCCGACCAATTGAAAACTGCAATTACAGGAATATTTAACGGCAATGTAAGGATTGAAAACGAGAGCAAAGCGATGTAATTGATTGTTAAAAGAATTTATTTCAAATACATAAAAAATGTTGACAATATTTTTCTGACGGGTTCTTTATTTTATGTGATTTTTATTTTAAGTTTCTTATTATTAGATCGCGCTGTGTATATCTCACGTATTCATGTCCGACTTTAGGATTTTAAACTTATTGAACGAATTCCAATTGAAAATTGAAAATTGTGTTATGCATGATACCAAAATCGTATAACGTTAGTACATGTTCATGCTGAAGATAGCCAGAGGGAGATAACGATCTGAAAATGATTCGGTTTCAATAGTATAATCTCAAGAAGAGCGCAGGGGTTTAACAGGTTTGCACGTTTAACAGATCTTGGTAACGCATCTTGAGAAATTGTTTCCCCATCCTCACCGGAAGATTCTACCTAATGCAGCCCACTTTACGAAAACGAGTTTGTAAATGGTCAGCCTATAGATTATCGACACGGGCTTTGAAACTTATGACTCAAAGCTCGATCGAACATTCTTTGGGAATGTCCACGACAGGAAACCAAGTCCTTCTTTTCAACGGAGAGATAACGTTCCGTTATCGCGAAACGAAATATTCTATGAGAGAGGGTCGATAATGGGGGACCTTCGGTGAGATCTACTTGAGCTCTCTGAGGATCGAGGCCTTTAGAAATGAACCATGGACAATTCGCAGCGTGAAATCGAGCTCTTTCCTACCGTCAAAGTGGTCGCCGCCCTGCAAGGAAGGGAAGGAGACGTATCCTTTCTTCGCGGTAGACTCAGGGGGGCTCTAAGTAATGCCTAATGCCTCCGCTGAAGTGGGCGGCTCGGATCTGAACAGAGACGCAAGACGAGTGGTGGGGGCGGGAGGGAGGGAGGGGGGGGAGGGGGAACATAAAAATTTGTTTTGTTTTTTCGTTCCGACGGTCGCATTCCAACGGTACCAGATTGCCGGGGCCTCCTCGGCTCTCGGGGTGGTCCCAAATAGCTTTTGGGACCGTCCACGGAGCGTTCTGTGGCGAGCCGCGTTTTTGTTTTTTACACCGCCGCCGCCGCCGCCGCCGCCGCCGCCACCATCGCCGCGCTGTACCTTCCCATCGCCTCCCCCTCCGCGTCCTTCTTATGCGTACGTATGCGTGCGTCGGTACATGTACGGTGAGAGAGGGATAATACAAGTCTTACCGCGCTTTTTCTTCTTAATTCTTGAGATACAGCGAACGAAATTACATTTTAACGAACGAAGTTACATTTTAAATACGGTCTTTGATATAAAAAAAAAAGGAAAAGAATATACATATATCTTTTCTAGGAGTGCGGATTTTACACTATTATGCGTTTAGCAATCAGACTCGATATGGTGCAAAGACGAAGTCTTATCTCTAGACAAGAATTGGGACGAGGGGGGGGGGGAAGGAGAGGATTGATACACATTCGCGTATTACGAATGAATGGAGAGAGCTGGCAAAAAGTTCAGACGGGCATCGACATCGTGCTGAAGAAATCCCCCCGGTCGCACGGATCCGTTACATTCAGTTCCGCTGCGGATCCATCCATCTCCAGGATCCAGCATCCTAATCTTCGTAATTCGTAGCCGCGCGTCTCCCTCCGGGCAACCGGCCGTCCCGCTGTCCGCGTGAGGAAGGAACGGAAAGGAAAAAGAAGCAAAAGGGCGGAGGGGGTCGAGTTCGGGCCCCCAAGTTGAGACATTTTAACCATGCCCGTGGCTTCGCGCGCGAGGAAAGAGAGATGCTTATTGACTCGTCTTTCCCAGGGGGGTATCCCATGGAACATGGCGGTAGGAGAGGGACGGGGAGAGAGAGAGAGAGAGAGAGAGAGAGAGAGAGAGAGAGAGTGAGAGAGAGAGAGAAGAGACTCTTCGTATATAAGACATACATATAGCCTACGGCTGGGCCTGCGTTTGTGTGTGCAACCCGTGATAGATTGATGCACTCTGAATCAATTTCTTCTGTCTTTGTTTTTCTGGTCCCGATCCTCCGTTTCCGTCCTTCTATTCCTACGTATCTTCTATCCTTGTCTTTATCTCGCACTCTCATTATCTCGTACTTATAGTAGATATCACTTGTAGTTATAACTACCGATTTATATGCACGTCACATTTCGCGTCGTACAGCCTAGAACATTCCTCACTGTTCCCTCGAGGACGACAGCAAAATAGAAAACCGGACATACGAACACGCAAAGAGAATGAAAGAGAGAGAGAGAGAGAGAGAGAGAGAGAGAGAGAGAGAGAGAGAGAAAAAGAAGGGGAAGCGGGAGGCAGTAACGGGTTTCCGGGGAATCTGATCAGCAAGGAAGAAAGAGGGAAAGATAAAGATTCTTAGATTTCTCATCGGGTTTGGCAATTTTTTTTATTCGAACTGCAAAATTGTGAACACGACAACACGATCGTATCGAGTTCGCATCCTGCAATTTTCGAGAATTCGTTACGTACGTCTCACATTCCTTCTTGTGACTTCACACCTCAGGAACGTGCCCGAGAAGAAGAAGTATTCCTGTGCTTTAATTTTCCTTGTCAAAGAACTGTCGCTGGAAAATTTCTCGGAACTTAACACGAGGAATTCGCAAAGAAATGTATCGTGTTTTAGCCAGGGTTGGATAAATTAATCCTTTCTTTTAATTATGTTAAGTTAAGTCTTTACAATTATTTTAATTATGTTAAAAGTTGCATGAACAAAAAATTAATTTAGTTAAAAATTTTTAAAAGTATTATTTATGTTAAATTAAAATATAATTGCTTGAAATCAGGTTATTCTAAGCAAGAAAACAATAAATATCGATTAAATTTAATAGGTATATTATTTGTAAAATAAGTTTGTATGTATAAAGTATGCAAAGAAATATATTATTTTTTGTTACATTTTCTTACGTAGCGAGAATTTCTATTTTTTTTCTTTAATTATTAAAAGAAGAGAGCCAATAGTAGTTAAAGAATTATACATAAAAATAATTATACAGGAAATATAAATATATTATAAAGATAGTGATTATTAGGTAAATATTAACTTCATAAATCATCATAAAACGAACAAATATACTTCGCGATAGCCGCTACCGCGTCTCCTGATAATTATCATAATAGAATATATCTGATGCACATTAATTAAATAAAATTTTAATTAATAAACTGTTCATTTTTCGTCTTGTTTTCAACTCGAGGGAAATGCAAGTAATTTTAATTTACACGACATCACGTCATTATAATTATTGGGCTTTTTCTAATTGCGTAATGTTTAAAATTTTATCGAACAAAATAGAAATATTGACCTACAAAAATAAAAAATATTTTAATTTAGGAAAAAGTTAATAAGTTTTACAGTTAAAATTAGTGTATTTTACAAAACTAGATATCACAGACGTGCGCTTTAATTTTTTCTTTACTTCTTTAAAAGAGAATAATTTTATAATTTAGAATTATCCCTGTTTCCGCATTGGACACGCACGATTTTTTGGCAAATGTTCATACCTTTTACAATTAATAGAAATAATATTTGTGAGTGAACGCATAGAAGAGATTTATTTAAGTTAAACGTGTCTCTCACAAAAGTTTCTAAATGCCGATTTTTTCCGATCATTTTAGCGCCAGTGATACCTTGGCTTGATTTGATCTTCTTTTCAAATATTTTAATATTTAACATTAAATATATGTTCAAAGTTCTTAAAATATGCTTAATTTATATATATAGACTTTAAAATAAATTATGGACAAGATAAAAGTTTATTTAAAATTAAGATAAGTAATAATTCCCTGTTTACGCTTTCGAAGTTTAATTTCCATCGCGAATATATAATTATAAAATAATATAATATAAATAAGACTAAGATAAAAAATGTATGATAATGATATAATAAAGTAATATAAATATATAGTACACGAGAGAGATTAAAAGAAGCAATTGATCCTTCGACTTTTCAGCTGTGAAGAGATTGATCGAAAAATCTATTAATTTCACTCCGTGTTACTTTTCAGTAAGTACTTCTCAATCGATTTGATTCAAACTCACGCTGGGCCGCAAAAGTCATGATGACATCGCTCTGATCGATCGCCTTCAGATCCTGACCGCTAAGGTCAAACTCCCCGGCCTTGTGACTGCGCGCCACGGGCTTCTCCTCCTCGTCCTCGCCAAGGGCGTTTTTGTAGATGTCCAGCAGGAACTTGGGCGCCGACCTCTTGACTTGGGGGGGCCTGCCGATGGCGCTCCGCGGACGATCCGGGAGTCCCAGCAGATTCAGAATCTCGTGTTCCACCTCGCGTTTCTCACGCTGGCTGACCACACGGTGAACCACCGTCTGATCGAAGCCGTTGTCCACGTATAATCCGCTCAGTCTCTCGGCGCTACCGATGGCCAGGTCGCCGAGAATCGCTAAGAAGATCAACAAGATGGAGAAGGGTTGGATTGACATGATGACGTCGAGGAGAGATCAGTATCTTTTAATCTTTTCTTTCTGCCTCTCCCTTTGCCAATTCCTTATCCTCCTTCCTTATCGTCCTTTCTCTTTTCCCCGTTCCTCTTTCACTCCGTGAAATTCTTCGGCTCGTGCCGTAATCACCGAACAGAGTTCTCTGACTTCTCCTCTCTTCCCGGTCTCGCAAATTCTTTCTTCTTTTCTTCTCTTCTCACTTTTCTTCTCGCATTTATCCGCAAAAGAAGGGAGGCTCTTCACCTTTCTCCTTTGGCATTCGACTCTTCAACGCCACGGGCAGGCGCGCGCGCTTATCTTTGTAACTTTAGTGACAGCACGAAAGTTCTGGAACTATTCGGATGTCATCGACCACCACAAACAAACGATTCGAGGGTCACCGAATCGAAAGTGTGCGTCCGTATCCGAAGTTCCGTATTCGTTTTCAAAAGTCTCGCAGTCTAAGCGGCTAAAAATCTAGAGATTCCGACGATCACATCGCGAGCTGACGATATCGAGATTCTTGAATAACGGTGATCTTGATCGATGCGGATCCTGGTGAACGGTGATCTGGATCAACGACGCTCCCGGCACGGCGATTGCGCGCGTTGCGGTTTCGTTGTCAGGAATGGACATCGCGTGCGCGCGCGCACACATACACGCACAACTACAGGCGGCGGCGCTCTTCGTCCTCGAGTGTCCTTAGCGGCTTGGTGACCTCGTGTTCGCTCCGCCGTTTCGCCCGCTGATACCATAAAAATCTTGTTGATGGTTATCCCGATCGTCGTTCTTATCAGCACGTGCAAGAGATTCTATGTCGCTATTATGCCGGGATTCGACGAGATAAGTGGGAAATTTGCCGTGCATTGCGTTTTCCCTGATAATACGTCGCCCGTTTCTGTCAATCACACTCTTATCATTTTTTCTTTCCAAGAACAACTCGAGTTTTACATTGCGAATTAATTCGGTTGCACTAACTTCAGTTTTCAGATCTACCTCTAAATCATCGTTCTTTACTCTTCAATATTTTCGCGATGATCTCTTCACTCGCGACAAAAGCATTGCACGTCAACCCTACAAGTGTTTAAATCTTTATTAAAAATCTAACTGCTAATCTGAATCTTTAATAAAAAAAATTAAAAAAAAAGGAAAACTCGATCACTTCACTCGAATATTCCTATCTGTCGGACACTTTTAAAACTTCACCATTAGACACTTCAAAACATTATGTTGCCGTAACAGCATGATGCTTGCAGAACTGACAAATACCAGGATTTATTGCCAATCGTGATGAGAAACGATTGCGCTTGTCGAGATTAAAGGCTCCAGGATCGAGATCCGGATGATCTTGCTGGATGCGAACGATTGTCAATGTTTGTTGGAGAACCAGCGTGAACGCCCGTCGTCTGTGGACCGTGAGTGACCGTGGGTCACCGCGGATGACTCCTGGCGACTCTCGCGATGCCAGTGCCAGTCTGTTTGTCTGGCCCATGCCAGTCGTCGTCCGGAGTCGTCTCTCTAGCGAGCTCACCGCCTCCCAGGTCCGTACTGAAACCCACTTGGTTCCACTCCCCAAGGCTCGACCGTCAACATCGACCCTTTCTCTCTCTTTTCTCTCGTCATCGATCTCTTCGTTTACGGCGTAGCCTTATTGTTGCGTTATTAATATCGCTGTAGTAAGTCCACAAAGATAAAATTGCAATTGGAAATTAACTAATATCCTCTATAATTCTTTAAATATTTAGTCACAAAAACGTTAAAAAAGTCACTGCAGTGTTACAGTGGCTGGTTTTTTGTAAGTGAATATATTAATAAAATAAAGATAAATAATAATATATAACTACGAAAAATGACAAAAATAATAACAAATAAAAAAGAGAAGCGGTATGAATAAATCGTATTTTATAAAATAAAAGAGTTTTTCCGATTCAATATTTTCTCTTTCTCTCTTTCTATTTTCTTCTTAATTTAATTTTTTGTTATTTGAGAATTAAATATATTTCTAATATAATTGCTAATTTTTATAAAATTATATACATATAATATTAACTAAAATTTTATAATTTTTATTTAAAATAATCTGTTAAGTATAAAGTAAAATTTTTCAATACAAATATATTTGTGTTTAATATATATTGAACATAATATAATTTGTATATTTTGTAATATTATATAGTAGCATAAAAAAATCTCGGTTTATTTTGATTTCTGAAATGCAGTGGTGAGTTTTTGACTCATTATTTGCACGTTCCTGGATCATAGAGGTAGGACCGCCCCTGACGAACGAGTAGGCGGTTAGTATTGGCAACCAGGACTGGTCGCCGATAACTCGACTCTTTAACGAGGTGGTATCGTGGACCAGGACTAGAGGACGCGATGGCGGCCTGTGAGGCCGTAAAAATTTTTTCTACATGATTAACCAACATATCTCTCTTCAGCTTGCAGATCATGTTCTTATTAACATTGGTAAAACACGATGAATATTAAGGTATTCAATAATTTAGAAGTTAAACATATAAAATCGCCAATAAAAATGATGATTTCACGCAGCTTTTGCGGAAAACTTCTTCAAAAATGTTACATCTATTATTGGTATTTTTTGCGCACACAACTATCATGGTTAATCGGGATACAATAACAATAGACTGAGGATATTCGTTGCTCAATTTTATATTCAAGACTGTCGTAAATCTGATCATTGAGCGATGCAATCTTTAATATTGTATCCAGCCAATAAAATGATCGTGCGCGCAGAATCTCGAGATCGTACATACTTATAAATTTTAAATATTTAATAAGCTTGGACTATGAATACCGGTTTGAAACTATACCGACTATCCAACTCGAAATATATCAATATATAAATGTATTTATCGTGATCTGATGCATCGTATACGATATACACGTGTAGTCGTAAAAGTGTAAAAGGAACGGCGAAGCTGAGATTAGTGGCGGCCGGTGGTGAAAGTGAATTCATGCCGCAAATATCAAATGAAGGCGATATGAGCGGCGTGAATAAAAATATCGACTCCCGTTAACTTTTGCCAGCTTTCTCGGCGTCTATTCAAATCCTCGGGCCGGGTTATCCCCTCTAAATGAATTCGGTACATTCGTGTCATCTTAACGACTTCGAAACCTTGAAGCCTACTTTAGGGATCGGCCATGTCAGATTTCGGGACAGTATTTTATATTATTTTATATTTGTAATTTTATATGTCGCGTGTTTTGACGCATACACTTTGATGAATAATTTACGCGAATGTATTCTGATTTTTTAACCGCGATTATCCTATATATTACATATATGACATATAAAAATTATAAATAAAATTTCATCCTAAATTTTAACACGCATTACATTATATATTGTCGAAAGTAGGGTTCATTTATTTCAATTTAAATATTAAACAGTCTTGAAAGTTTTTTTTGTTGCATAAAGAATACTAAAAGTAGGTACAATAAGGAATACTTCTTTTCTTCTTATGTAAAAGATTTTTTTACGCGAGTAACTAATATTTTCGCAAATCGTACTTTTATTTTATAAAGGCAATCGATTTGAAGGCATAAATATATAAAATCGTCAATAAAATAGTGATTCATGCGACTTTTGCGGAAGGTGTCTCTTCGAAAATATTAGATATATCTGTCATTTCTTGTGTACAGCTACCACATTAAATCGAAGTAACAATATAAATTAGGTTTTGCCATTTCAAAAGACGGTTCTTTTCGGTAAAAATGTGTGAATGTGTTAAATTAAAAATTAGTTAAATTAAAAAGTATAATGTGAAATTTAATGGAACAATTGCGCAATTGTTAGGCAAAAAGAACTTTTCATTCTTCAGTCTCCATCTTTTGATCCTGTATGAGCTTAAATTTTAAATCTTATGCATATTGTTGAATGAAACGAAAAGGTCGCACATACGATTTCGGCAGGATAAGTATGGAAATGTTCACACTTCACCTTTTCCCGTTCCCACGAAAAAGTTACGTAATCGATCTCGAGATTCCAGTCTCTTCGAAAAATAATATTTCTATCGGATTTATCTCTTGTATTCTGTAGAAGCATGCGGAAAGGATATAGATAAGATGGGTTATATGATAGGCAGAAATGATTGACAGATAATAATATTTCAACTTCAAAACGAATTGTTACCTAGACGTATCAGTAGACGCGTATCAGTAATAAAAGTGTATTGTTATAGAATAATTTATTTATCGCATATTATTTCCATTCGCTATATAAGTATAGCTGATATAGAAATATATCTGATATAGAAAGTATATAGAAAAAAAGTCCGAGTGAGACAAAGAATTTTTCAAGTTTCTCAAGAAATTGTATGTTATCTCGTTGTATTCGGAAAATTTCTTTTTTTCCTCATTTCCGCTGACTAATCTTCATTTTTGTCATTGAGAAAACAAAATGCGATTTTTGGCAAATTATTTAAAGCAGATTGTGCAATTCAGAGAGATTATAAATAAAGAACAGAGAATTTTACTGTGGTAATGTTTTTCTGAACAAATAACTCTGGAGTTGCAGTTATTTTTCGGAGTTGATTCTCCAATCGCATAACAACTATCATTTAATGAATTTTGAAGGAAATTATTTATTTTCAAAATTAAATTTTCATTTTTTATTTTAAATTAGGGATAAAGTTTAATTTTTCGGATACTACCTTCTGATCTTCTGAATTTCTTTATCAGAATTTCTGGTATAATATTGTTACCAAATATGGAAATCCATTTTGAAATATAACTCGATATAAAGATACGAGAGATAGATTGTAATCGAGAAATCTTTGATAAATTTTCCAGTGCCTGAATTGAGAGAATAAAGAAATTAGAAAGAAATACAGCTTCAAGTTCCATACATCTGAATTGAGAGATTAAAGAAATTAGAAAGAAATGCAGCTTCAAGTTCCATACATCTAATGCCCATTTTGCGCGATTATAATTCGCGTCAATTTCAGAGTAAAATCTATTTATAATTTTATGTGTATTTCAATATATGTTTTGTGTGTGTTTTCCAATTCTTAAAATGTTTCTCGTACTACACGTGCATTACTCAGTATAAAATTATAAATTTAATTGTAATTTTATTTCAAATATTTCCACGCATGTACTTTAATATACATATATGTTATATATTCTGCTTTAAATGTTTTGTTATACACGGCACGTGTGAAACAATAAATGGAATTCCAGCACGCGAACTCTTGAATTTTGACGGGATTTACAAGTCGTCCCAAGCCGGCGGTGCTTCCGATTTTTACGGACGATTAGGTATTCTGCCGAGCGAAGTGCCCGCGTCGATTCACGTTAATTTCGGATACGCTCTTTCGGGCTGTGGCCGTCTCTTTGTGGGATGGCTGGGCGCGTCAAGTTGGTTGAGGCCATGTCTGTGTCAAGTTGGTGCCAAGAAGTCTACCGGCGCGCGCGCTAACCAGCTGCACCGGTAGACTGCCTGCTGCCCGCACGCGGGGCCCCGCGGGGTCCCCGGGACCGGTTATACTTGACCCAGCGCGCGATTCGTTGCGCGCTGTGCCCGAGACCGGATCGCGCGCTGTGTCCGCTACCGAAAAACACACGCGCGCACGCAACGAGCGCGGCTCGAAGGCGCGCGGATACGCTGATCACGGAGTCATCACAGGAACGGTGTGAGACGGGTGGACCCGGTGGACGTCGACTCGGCAGGGAAAGAGGAGGGAATAGAGAATTCACAGTCGGGGGATATATGAAACTTCGCGGGACCAGAGACGGGCATTTGTATGCAGATGAATCCCACCGAAGAGATATGCTCTTTATCTTATTCTTAATTTATTACTTAACCATAGCTTGCCGCGCGTAAATCTCTCGAAAAGTTACAGAACCGAAAGGAACTCTACGGAAGCGAAGATTCTATTTTTCTTCTCCGAAGTCCCGTTGAGAATTTTTCCCAGCGGAACGGGATGATCAATGATGCTCTGTAGATCCAAGGGAGTTAACGCGGCATGAAAACGATGCGTTTCTATTTGTTTTATCTTATGAATGTAATCATGTTTAGTCCCGAAACACAATAGATGTTGTAAGCCTTAAGCCGTAAGAAATGGCCAATCGCAGTTGAATTTGAAGAAAATAATCGATTATGATTAGTTAATTTCTTTACGGCTTAAGGCTTACTACATCTATTGTGTTTCAGGATTTATATTTTTAATAACATGATTGTATTCAGTCGTATACGTATCGGACAAATTTTCAAAATCAATGTCCTTGAAAATGGTTAACTTTATATGAGAAAATTTTATATCACATTTTTTGTTTGTTTTTAAATGAATAAGTATGCTTTTTATAATTATATGAATAAGTATGCTTTTTATAATTATATGAATAAGTATGCTTTTTATATTTATATCACAAATTACGCATACAAATCCTGAATATAAATCCTGAATATATTATATATATACCATATATGGTATATATATAATATACATATGTATATATGTACACATATACACGCGCGCGCGCGTACACATACACACATGCGTATATACGCTTAAGATGGATAATAATTAGTTAAATAAAAAGTTAAAAGTTAATAATTTTTATCTTATTGTTAGTTAATTTTAACTTCAACTAGTTATTATTAAACCACATACACTTTAACTTATTAATATTAAAAAAAATTTTTTTTATTCCTCTAAACACCAATATTTTTTTCTATAAAATTTTAAATATTAGGAAATTATTCTAGAAAAAAGAAAAAATTCAATTATAATGGGCGCAACGTCTGCAGTGCCCAAAGGTAAACGATAAACGGACAAACTTACATTCCGTTTCACGCATAATGATACACATAATGATTTATCTTTGTTTAACATTCGGCGAACAATAAGAGTAAATTATACATCATGCGCATTATACGCATAATAATTTATCTTTAATATTCAGTTAACCAACAAGGGTAAATGATGCATCATGCGTATCATGTGTAAAACGAAATATACCCTTAGACTTTGCATTCAGGGAGCGCTATAAGCATTATAAAAACAACAGCGCTAATAGCAACAATAGTATGCTCTTCGAAGTTCCGAATGCAACTTTATTCTTAATAGGATAGAAAATCTATGATTATATATATATATATATATA